ATCAGCAGATGAATTGATTAGAAAACTGTTGTACATCTACACAATGGAATACTACACTGCTGTAAAAAAGAATGAATTCTTACCATTTGCAACAGCATGGATATCACTGGAGAGCATTAGGCTAAGCGAAATAAGCCAGTCAGAGAAACATAAATATCACATGATCTCACTTATTTACGGAATATAAGGAACAACATAAACTGATGAACAAAAGCAGATCCAGAGACAGAGAAGCATGTATCAGACTGTCAAACCTCAGAGGGCTCGGCCCAGGCGCCCCCGTGTCAGCCGCAGAAACCACGCCGCCGGACTTCCGCAAATAGTACTTACGCCCCGGCTGGGAGAGGAACGGCGTCCTCTCTATTTCGTGATTAAGCTTTCACGTGGGTGCACGTAAGAGGGTCTTCGTAACTTTTTTTTTTTTTAGTGGAACCAATCACATTAACATGCTCTCTGAGTGGTTGGGGAAAATGCAAACGTTTGTTTTAAAACGTGAAGCCATTCTACCGCCCAAAGACACGCACCACAGACAGGTTCCTTTTGGTCCCCTGTTGTACCCATGCAATTCCCTTTCTCCTCCTCTTCTCTCCTCGCCCGCCCTCCGCGTTTAATTGCAGTTGTGCGTGCAGCTTTGCGTGCTTTTAGGAAGCTGGTCGCTAGCACGGTCGGGTCCCATTGGTCCCCTGCAGCCATTGCTGGCCGTGCCGGCCCGCGCTCCTTGCTTCACCGCCTGTGTTGGACCCGCGCATCTTGCCTTCTCCAGGCCTTCAGTTTGCTTTTCCTCCGCGGTTTCTCCTCCATATACGGACGTTCCAGCCACCCTTCCGAGGGTACAGCTTCCTTTCCTACCAGAGGGAGAGGGGACGGGAGAGCGAGCGGGATGGGTTTGTTGATCTGCTTCCTCCTGAGCCCACTGGTTGCTTCTTGTACGCGCCCTGACCGGGGGCGTCCCTGCATCACTTGTGTGTGAGTGAGTGTGTGTGTAGAATTCTGAAAATTTTAACAAATATGTAATTGCCACAATAGGATTCAAAACGGTTGTTTGATCAACCCCTCCCCCCGCCCTGGGCACCTGTTGGCCTCGGTGTTTCCGGGGGTGCCAGCTGGAGGCGCGGCGTGGACGGGGCCTTGGCGTTTGGCTTCGCTCACGGCACGGTGCATTGAGATTCGCCGCGGCTCCTGCAGGCGTGAGGGTTGGGTTCTTCATGCTGCTCGGGAGCTCCGTGGTGTGGAGGGGCCAGGATTTACCCGTGCACCTGCTGAAGGGTGTTTGGGTTGCAGCGTGTGTGGGAGTCCGTGGAGCGTTCACGTGGCGTGATGCGCACACGACACAGAGGCACGCAGAGGGTGGCACAGTTCCTCTTTGCTTTCTCCCCGTTCTTGACTTGGTCCGAGCACTCACTGACTTGGTACGTGTTTGCCCAGGTCTCTTTCCATCAGGACCTGCATTCTCCACGAAAACGCCCACAAGAGGGAGAAGAGGGTGAAAGTGTCTTAGGACCGTGGTCTGTGGCCTCCTGGAGGGTCCCAGGACATCAGCAGACAGGCAGGGCAGCTGTGGTGTTAGCATCTCACAGGCGACTGGGGGAGAGATGCCTGCGCAGGCTCCTGGGGCCGGTAGCAGCAGGAGGCGGGTCGGGCTGCACCGCGATCGCTCGGTGCTCGGTGCCGAGAGAAGCACTTCCTCAGCCCGTCCGGCCGTTCCTGCCCAGCTGAGGTGGACGCCCCCGGGCTAGCTCAGGGGCTCTGGTCCATCAGGCGAGGGACCGGCCAGCATCACCATGAGTTTGGCCCCATAGGCGGTTCAGTTCAGGGACTCTGGCCGCACTGCGTCTGGCCTTCCGCCGCAGCCACCCACCAGGCAGTGCTCTGCAGCAGTGCATGGTGCGCGGTGTCATACATCCTAGACGGTTGTCAGCCTCGGGTTAGCCCGTTTGTATCCTTTGGAATTTATATGTTTTAGGAGCGAGTGAGGGACCTTCACACTCAGGGGAGAAGGATGGGGTCTTGTTAGCAGATGGGACTTTTGTTTCAGCCCTTTATTTGTTGAGCCACTTCTGGTGTTACCGTGTCATGTAGACAGTATTTTTTCCCGTAGTGTTTTACAGTGAAAATTTTGAAGATACATAGTCGTTGAAAGAATTTTGCCTACAACCTGTATACCCATCACCCAGTTTCCGTGATTGGCGGTTTCCTGTACCTGTTTTATCACACACCCATCCATCCACCTGTTCTTAGACGAAGGCAGTGTCCAAGTACAGTTTCCTGCGCTGTGCTTCCCGGACTCACACTGCGTGTTCTGGAGACGGCTCTCCGCCGGTTCCTGGCGCCCACCTTGCCTGTCACCTGCTGCAGGGCTCCAGTCGAAGGGGACCACAGCGGAGTCAGCCAGTCTGCAGTACGGACCACTTTACTCCCAACATTTTGCATTTGCAAATAATGCCCTAGCGAACACCCTTGGTGCTTATGTATTTTCCCGTTGCAGTGGCTGTCAGGGTGCATTTATCGTGTGACTGCCAGGCCCAAGGAGCAGAGCTGTGCAGCTGTTGGAGGGGCCAGGCCCGCCGCTCACCCAGTGTGTTGTCCAGCTTCCGACTTCCTGTCAGTCTGATAGATGAGAAGTGCTGTTTCAGCTGAGTTTTAATTTGCATTTCTTTTATTACGAGTAATGAATTTACCAGTAGATGTGCTTGAAAAATTCAGCTTCAAGTCTTCTCTGGGGGTTACACTGGCTTACTGTTTGTTTGTTTGTCACAGAAATCCCATTTTATAAACACAGGCTGGGAGTGAATGGACTCAGACATGGAGCTTGTCACTGGTGAGCAGCCTTGTAGAGACATGCTCAGAGCGGTTTGATGGATTGTGATCTGAGTCAGGAAGGCCATGCCTAGTCCTGGCTTTTGCAGCCGACATCTCTGTGACCCGATCCTCGGCCTCCTCCTGGGCAGTACTGCCCGTGAAATCATGAGTTGGACGGATCCGATCTAGCTGGTTCTGGTGGACTTGAAAGTTAGACAGCCAGTAGAATAAAATGTGTGTTGCCATTGGTGGTGGCTTTGCTCTGCATGGGGTGCCTGTACCACATTTTTGGGAAATGTTATTTAGATAAGCAGTGATTTGATTCCCGGTCAGGCACCTGCTTGCATTGTGGGCTCAGTCCCCAGTGTGGGGCTGTGCAGGAGGCAGCCAATCACATTTCTCTCTCTCAAAATCAAATAAAAAATCTTTAAAAAGAAAGAAGAAGAAAAAAAATGAAGATCCCGAACTCGTATTGAAAACAGTGGCATAGCCAAGAGTTCCCTCGCACGCTGTGCCCACCCCCAGTGCCCACCACATTGCTGGGCTTTCTGCTTGGAGGGCGGTGGTGGGAGTGGGCTTCTGCTGGCAGTGAGGCTGTTGCTGGCTGTGGTCCCGACTTCCTGCTTAGAGGCACTGGCTGCTGCTTGCTCATGACCTTGAGACTGTCTTCGGAGACAGCCATCAGGACGCAAGTCCCTTCTCTGAGGGTTATGCTGAGTTTTATGTTTTCTCAGCCTTATGTGTGTAACCGTCATCCGTAGCTCTTGATTCACACAAATGTGTTCGGCAGGGTGTGGAGCTGTGAGATCATTCATATGTGTGTGCGTTGCACCTTGGTCAGTTTTCTAACTTTTCCTGTGCATTTCCTCTGACAAGCAGTGGTGCCCTGAACATGAAAAGATGCTTCTGCTGGTCTAGGGGAGGGGAGTGAGCCCCACCACACCTAGGAAGCTGGTGTGCCCGTTAGCACCGAGGACTTGCCATGTGGAGAGGAGTCATTTTGAGCCCATGACCCAGCACTGTCGGGACAGGTGGCCCTGGAGTGCAGTTGCCCTGTTCCCACTGGAAACCCAGGCTCTAGCCAAGTCTGACTTGGGAACATGGTCCCTTCTTAGCTCAGAGTTTCCCGCTCCACCCTCGGGTGGCCCCGTCCTGAAGGCTGAGCTTTCTCAGGGTCCCCTCCCACTCTCCACCCCGCTCTCTAGTCATGGGCACTGAGGAGCTGGGGGCTGGAGCCTTGGCAAGAGCTCCAGGATGTGATGGCCTCTCGGCTGCTCCGTCTCCCTGTGATGTCCTCTGCAGCCCTCCCTGCTCTCACACAGGTGCTCGGTGCGAGCGCCGTCAGGGTTTGGCCTGGCCCTGTGTTGGGGCTTGGTTAACGGTGTCGCTGTGCGGTGGCTTAGGGTCGCGGGACTGCTGTCGGGTGGGGATTCAGCTGCGGTTCTGGTGCTGAGGGCGTGTACAGCCCATGCCCGCACAGGGAGAGACGGGCACACCGTCCCCAGCACGCGGAGCACAGAAAGGCCCTGAGCTGGGAGACGCGTCCGGGAAGACTCCACCGGTCACAGACCCGCACCGAGGCCACACCCTGCTTGGCCTCGAGCAGGTGATGCTTGTGACGGTCCAGTAGCTGGTTGGTATCCCCCACCTCATGCCAGGCTGTGAGGGACCAGTCCTCCTGTGCAGTGAAGGAGACCTTCTGTAGTGTCCACGGCTCCACGTGAATTAAGACTGTCCTTTGCACCAGCTGCCGGTGGGACAGACAGTCACATGTCTCCAGTGCTGCTGACCAAGCTCATAATAAGGGGTGATCAGACGGTTATATTTGCCTTGAAGTAACTTGATTTCAACTTTGATTTTTCAGGAGAACATTAAGTTGGATAAAAAAGGGGGGCGATAATGCACCACGGCAGCGGCCCTCCGAATGTCCAGCACCAGCTGCAGAGGTCCCGGGCCTTCCCCAGC